ATCACTAATTGTCAGTGCCGTAGTTAGGGCAGCTACTTTGCACTTATGCACAGTCGAACTGGTTCCATTTGCCGGCTTTTATGTATCTGTTTAGCAGGGTTACCACCTCGAAACCCCGCGGCTTCCAGCAGACATAACTGGGTCCTGCGAGCTTCTCGCTGCAGCTCGCTGATTTGTCCCTGACGTAGCTGTTATTGAGCCGACATTCACCCACAAGCTTGCAGCAGCAGCACACTTCCTGCGCAGGGACGTCGGAGGACACCGTGATGTAAGGATTGTAAGGTCTCGGCCTCGAAACCGCCGCGGTCTGGTTCACATGCTGATGGATCTCCTGGAGGTGACCCTGCTCTGCACGAAGGTCCTCTCCCTTGCGAACGGCAATAGTGGAAACGATGCTGGTGACAAAGACAAACAGGAGCAACTTCATGAAGTTGGCCCGCAGCGCGGGCTGTGGATTTTGCAGTTCTGCTTGGGGCTGAGCAGCCGGAGCCGAAACGGCACAGACCTCAATGAATGCACCTGTCTCTGTCCACAAGCATGGTCTTTCTCATGCTTCCACAGGCTACATGCTTTGATTGAAAGATTTAGACCGCGGATTTCAGACTGAGTCTCGGCTTAGCACGCACCCCTATAGAACCTTCTGTGCAAGCCGAACGGCCCTAAACACCCAGGTTTCAAGGATTGCCCGGAAAACGCATGGAATCCTGTCACCCTCTGTCGCTGCACGTAGAACTCGACATGTCTGCGGCCTGCATCAGGTTTAGCGCCACGTCCTTGTCCGAATCCTGGACCTGAAGCTGCAGTGCCCGGCGGAAGACCTGGGCGACGGGTTGGCAGCGGTCACTGAGCGCTCTATTGTGGATTGTGGTCCGGAACCAGCAGTAGGCTTTTTGCAGAGCCAAGTTGCAAGCATAGCTGCGGAGGCACGCAGCTCACAGCCCAGGAACGTGGTCTGCTGATACCACTGGCAGGCTGCATTGCAGTTCACGAGGTAGCCTTAAGGCGCAGAGAACGGATTCCATGGCCTACCGAAGCCCTGTGCGTCCCAAGGGCACCCTGGCTGAGGCCGCGACTTCCCACTAGGACTGCACACCATCCCAGTCCGGCCGCAGGGCTGCTGCCTGTAGAAGTCAGGGCATGTTGGATTACATCCATCCGGCAGGCATCGTCAGGCAGCGGTATCCCATGTATATCAAATGAGGAATCACAGGTATGACTTTCATCTCTTTCCTGGCCTTCTGCAAGCCATTCAAACAGGCTTTCGGTGAGGAAGGGCAGCAGCGATAGACTTGCGAGCCAGACGGAAAACGTTACCAGGATGAATACGTATCTCCATCCGAAGGTCCGCATCAGCAGCCGGAGGACTGAGGCGCGACCTGCCCGTCCCTCGACCTTCAGAAGAATCTGTTTTTGGATGGAGAGATGTGCAATATCGTAACATTTGCTAAGCGAGTCAGCTAGAAGGGGATGCAGAGCTCGGGAAAACCCCACCTTCATCTTGTTCAGATGGTTAAACCAGCACGGGTCCAGAGCTGCGGTGCGCAGGCACTCAGGAATCCTGAAACATTCCAGCAGCCACAAATGGCTCATGTCTACAAGGACAGCATCGTGGTCACTCATGGTCTGTCTCGACCGGTTGCTCCCAAGTCACTCGTACATATCCTCTTCTTTGAGAGGCTTCTGTGACCCCTTGCGCAGGAGTGGCCAAAGCCAGAGCAGCCAAAAGCCTCGGCACCAACGAGACGTCGTGTCGCAGTTTACGTCGACGTCCGCATGCTACTGTTCCAGCATTCCTTCCAATCTTCAGGGCTGACACAGTTGCGAAACAGTGCAAAGGTAGAGGAGTGAAACGTGTGGTGCATGGGCGACCAGATACAAGCCTGAGTCATGAGTGTGTGAACGAGCCGGGGAGGATCAGGTGGAAGGTCCGTGAGAGCTGAATGTCTGCCTGGAGCCATGATGATGGAGATGGCGATAATGGATGGTATCATTGGTTGAAGCAGAGCAGCATGACGGTTGGATGCTGTGTTCGTTTTTGCCGATGGCGGATGGCTTGCGAGCGTGAGGTGACAACGGCAAGGTTCGAGGATCGATTCAGCGAGGGCGAGCGAGTGTCACCGCTGCCCTGAAAAGACCGGACATGACAAAGGCTCCCCGAAACACCAAAGAGGCGTTTCGAATTCCCATCTCCAAGCCCGGCCAACACTCACTGCAAGCGGCGGCTGGGGCAAGATGCCGTGTCCAGCGGATGGCTTGCCATGGCGCCGAAACAGACGGGGGTAACAGATAGCTCGGCGTTTTTTCCCGTGGTGTTGGCTTTCATGCCCTCGGGCTTGATAGCTTCTGAGACTGAAGGCGCTAGGCCCCCGCTTGTGTTGGGCACCTTTGGCCTTCAAGCTCCCGGTGCTGCGATTTGCTGTTCTGTTCTTGGTTGTACTCTTCATTTCGACTGGACGACCTTCACTGGGGTTTCATTGGGCTTCCATTCATGTCCTCCAGCTGTGGAAACGGCAGCAACGATGAAACTGTGCTCGGTGCCTGACCGCGCCTGTGCCCGTGTCCGGCAAGCCTTGCTTTTCTCCAGTCCGAGTTGGTGCAGGTGCGGTGCAGGTGCGATCTTTGACCGGACAGCACTTTCCGGTCTCCTACGCCCTACGCGAATCTCAGGATGCCACGATGACCACCGATGGCCGAACTATGCCTGCAAAAGAATCGCAGATCCGCGGTCCTACAAGGAACAGCAGCTGCAAGCGGTGGATGGAAAGGCAAGGAGTTGAGGCCCACTTGCAAAGCCCATGAAATCCTTCAGATCATGGGGAGGCTCTTGGCACTGAATTTGAGCGAGACACGGTCACTCAGCTTCCAACCAGACCTGCATCACGAGTTCGCGCAACATCACCATGTGGCCGTCAGAGACATGTGCTCATGAACTAAGCCATCCGGCAGCACGTCGAGCTGACATGTGCAAGGAGAGGCTGAGACTCTTCGTGCCCTCGCGCCTCAACTCCTCGCAGACTGTGCCTTCAGCCTGGCCCTCTGCCGCGCGTTGCGAGGCGGCCTGCAGCCAAGCGGCCAAGAAAGGAGGTCTCAAGAATCACACGATCTTTAGATATCATCTTCGTCCGATGTGCTCCACACTTAGAGGCTGCAGAAAGTGAAGACCTGTCGTCACAAGGCACTCAGCCCAAGATGGTCAGGAGCAGCGGCGGATTCTCCCAGCGATGCGAATGCCACGATGGCCTAATGCCTGTCCCTGCTCCGCTGCGGTTTCACATCGTAAGCATGATGCAAGGACCAGAGAAGTCACTATGCCTTGAGTCTGGCCCTTATAACTTGATACCTCCTTGATCCCCGATAGACCGATCCCAAGTCGACGGCCTCGTGCTCGGCTGGATCGAAAACAGCTCCCATGGCCTCTTCCGAGAAGATGGGCGCGGCTAAGGGGACTTGCCGAATCACGGAGGGATGAGGCACATAAGGACAGAGACGACGCGAATTGCGGAGAGCTCGGCATGTCGAGCCTTTATCCTCTCAAAGCCGAGTGACTCCAGCCTCGGTGTTTAAGTAGGCAGACCCGCTGTGTGGAGTTCTGGGCTGAATACCGGGGGCCTGGGAACATCAGAAAGGTGTCTGCGCTTCAGGGTTTAAGCGTTACAGGTGCAGCATTCCAACTAATTTTGCACCGCGTGACGGTCGTGCCGGGCCATCACGGAACCGCAACCCAATTCAATTCAGTTTCACAGATGCACCACACCGGCGGCATGCAACAGAAAGCCTTCTACAAAAGAACACGCGGCCCGGAACTGTCGGAAATCGGATCACATGCCAATCATCTAAAGCAGCGTATACTAGCACATAATGATATATACCAGTGATAGAGAACCTGAAGGCCCCCGCCGGCTTTGGAACTTGTCGGCCAGGCTCCTCAAAGCTCTAGAACCAGGGAGGCTCTGGGACTTGCTCCCGTGACATCAGGCGCTTTCCAGCAAAATCACACGGTTTGCGGTTTGGGGTTTAGGGCTTAGGGTTTAGGGTTTAGGATGGCCTTCGTGTGTCTGGAGACTCCCTGCACAAAGAGTCTCCGAATAGTTTCAGTTGGTTGCTGCCTGGACACCTTAAAGTGGACACTCCGCCAGTGCTGCCATCCTGGCTTGCCCCACGCTCGAGGTCATCCAGGACCTCTGAAACGAACTAAGGAGCTGTCAAACATCTATGCATGTGAAGGGGCACACGTCTGGCTAGTTTGTGCCGGCGTGTGTGTACACTCGCGGAAGCCTCCAGCAGTTCGGAGACCACAGCAACCTTCGTGTCTGCCTCCCATGCCGTGTGTCTGGAGTAAGCGCACGTTTTACAGACATGGAATCATTTCCAATCCGTGGGCTCGCAGGCCTCCAGGTTCCGATTCACCTCCTCGGCAGAGCGGCTCAAGAGACTGCCCAGCTACCCGTAACGACCCGCCAAGTCTGCCCGTCCTGGAGGCGGTAGTACTTCGTGAACAGCTCGCCCATCGTATCTTCTGCCGCACGCCCGGCGCCGCTCCGATTTGCCCGGGGCTGGCAGCGGCCCGCACTTCCCGCAAAGGGTAGCCCGGAGCCCCATGAGATCGCCACGGCGAGGCAGATCTTTGCTGCCCGTGTCCGAAGGCTCGCACTGCCAGACCACAGGCCTTTCAGGAGTCACGATAGGATGACACAAGGTGGGAGAGGTTCTTCTAGCCTGGGCCTCGGCTGGAGGCCGAACCTTTGGCCCCCGAAAACCGGGCCGCCAGGGTCATGGCACGTATGCAGTTTTGGTTTTGGGATGCGCTGTCACAGCTTTGATGGGCGAACTGAGCCATGATCTGAGGGCTCTGTGTGCAACAGGTGGTTCTGGTCGATCTTTCTGACGCTGGAAGGAGCCACCACGGAGGAGCAAAAGTGATGGTTGTCGGTTGTCGGGTCGGATTGGATCAGGATGGAGCTGGGATGGTCAAGCTGAGCAGTCGCTACCAACGATAAGCATGGTTGCGGGAGAGTGCAGGCACTGCACGTCGCAGTTCCGGTTTTTGGCCACCGGTGCTGGCATGTCTCAGCTCAAAGTGGCTCACTGTACAGCGCAGGCCGTGTTAACTGCAGAGCGGCCAAACTTTGGGAGGGATCGGTCCATCCCATGCGACGCTCCGGAGAGCTACAATGTACGTACCCGTTTGAGACACAGACACAGAGAGACTATCGAACTACAGATCCACACAAGTAGGGAGCCCAAAAACAACAACCTTCGGTTGATTCACATTTCCTTGGCCAGTCTCAGGCCGAAAACGTAGACCAAAGAATCGAGTGGTAGCGACTCTGGTCTCAGCGAAATGCTATCGCAGGTTAAGTCGTGAATATGGATGTCTGTTCTCAAGTTGTGCCGCAGCCTGGTGCAGCCTTGGATGCTTCGACACTCCCACGGAGACAGCAGCGACATGCAGTGAGCTCAGCGCTCGGCTGGATATGGAAGGGCAAGCCGCAGACGTCAGCCTGTTGAGCCCAGCCACTGCAACAGAACATTCTCAGCCAGGCCCAGCATTCGCCAAGCCAGCCTACGCAGGCCCGCTGAAGCCACATGGAAGCAGTCAAAGACTGGCCACCGAGGTGGCAAAAGCGAATATGGACTGGTCCTTGGCAACAGAGCTCCTTTGCGCGGCTCACGTCGCAGAGTCGGTTGCTGAAACTACTGCAAAGCAAAAGGAGAACATCAACCATCAGTACAATGCATTAAGATGGTCTGAGGGCGCAGCTTCAATGACAGGTCAACCTCCTCGAAGCCTTGGCATCCCAGAAACTCATGCCTTGCTGAGCCCTCAAGGATTCTTGGCTCTTACCGGTGGGGCGTGGGGCCACGCAGTCCAACTGCTGGATGCTGGACCAAGGAGCTCTACCGTCTTCACGCCATGGCCTCCACGACTAGACTAGCCCAACTGCTTGGCATGCAAACACTGTAACTCACGTCAGCAGAGCGCAGGACCTCGAGATGTGATGAGCTAACTCTTCCAGAGAGTCCCATCGCTTAACTATCAGAACTGCAAAGAACTTTCACCCGAGGCCTTGTGCGCAACCCTGCTCCTTGGGCAAGGCTGGGTATGGAGACTGGCTGAGTTCCCACAGACACGACGAAGAAGCTTGGCTCACAAATTGAGGCGAGGCTCGTCCACGCACCTGGTGCTGCACCAAAGGCGCCATATTGCCTTGAGTTTGCCGAGGGATGCTTCAGCAATCAAGCCTGATGAGTGCTACTGTATAACATCACCCATCTCTGACAAAGCCACTTAATTCACATGTCGCACAAGGACCAGGTTTCAGGAAATCCGGGAGCGATTCAAATTATGGCTGGTCCACATCTCTCAAGCAAATGGCAGAGCAATGACGTCGACGGCGATTTCAGCCACGCTTCGGGTTTGCTCATGGGACCATGTTCCTATCTTCCGACCCTCACTCCTTCCCCTGAGTCGCCAGCTCAAGGATCTTAAGACCCTGAGGAATGTCCTGCACTCGAGACTGAGCCTTCTAAGAGGGCAACCCGCTTTCTACAACGCATAGTGCTATCGATGATGCCATCTTGGGCGTGTGTGAAGCAATGAGGGATGTCATGCACACAGTGATATACATGTAGAAGAACATATGCTAACAGTATGACATATGAAAGCCAGCGGCCTAAATCCAAAGCCAACACCGACACTTCCAAGCATGCCGGGTTCCGGCCGCAAAGGATGATGCTGGCGACTCCACAGGGGGGGCCCTGGGTGCCTTTGGTTCCTGAGTCCGACCAGCATCCGCAGTTCGCTGCACATAGAAGCTCGGGCACACGACCACACTTGTTAGCATTCTGTAAGCGGTGCTACGCGACGGGGAAGGTTCTCACTGGGTTTGCACCAGCTGTGCAAGCATACTGAGACCTAACTTCTGGCTTCTGGTGACCTGACTCGCGACCTCTACCTCTACTCCATAGCAGCCTTAGCAAATCTCTGCCACCCTCGTAGGCCAGATCGATTCAAGACCCTTCTGTCCTCGTCTTGGACGAAGACCTGCCAGTGAGGAGATTCGTCTGTCGAGAACCCTAGGCCCTTAGGCCCTAGACACTCGAATGCAATCCTGTTGGTGTTTGCTGTCCTTGTTGAAGGTCACCAAGTTCACAGCAACTGTGAAGAGGCCTCTAAAGTTCCGAAAGTTCCTTGATTTCCGTGCCATGTAAGGAAACCCAGCCTTTCACCTCAATTGCCTTCATGCAAAAGCCCCGAATCCAAACCGTTCGGTTGCTGGTGCCACCTCTCTGCAGTCACTGCAGCACCCGCTGTCCTCCTGCTTCACTGCAAGGGGCACATGACTATCTACACGCACTGCTCCATGCAGCAGCATCTCCCTACCTTTCGCGTGGCATGCCGGGTTTCCGAGGACACCCAAATTTGCCATAGGCCAAACACTGTCGCTCGCTCCTCGGTCGAGTCGCTGCCATCATGGTCCGTGGTAAAGTCCACGGTCTGAAAGGTCCGTGCTGGGTGAGAGGGGTGGATCGTCGTCCAGGCCCAAGAGCACAGGCCGTGCCTTCTTCAGGGGATAGGTCATGCGCTGCAGGAGGAACGAGCAGGCGGACCTGACTCACGGACCCTTTGCCGGGGCGCTGGTACTGAGCAGCTCTCAGATCGCCGCGTCTGGAGAGACCATCCGGCAAAAACGCAGGCCACAACCAAGGCAACCTCACAGCGCACGCGAAAGCGGCAGCGTTTTTATTCAGGCTCTGCGACAACTGTTAGTGGAACGCTTGCAATGGTTTTTGGCTAGTCTGTTGCTCCAGATTCGCGCAGCAGGTCCCACAGTCATGAAAATGCAAAGGATCTAGCATCCAGCGTAAACCTAACCACTGAAGCTGTTAGACATTAGAGTGTGTACCCCCCGCGAAACGGATCTCGTCACAGAGAACCCTGCTCAGGACTGCATTAGATGGTGTAGGCCCAGGCCTGCATCAAGTCTTGCATTGCGATCCACATCCTTGGCAGCCGCAACAAAGCCCGGAACTGCCTCTGTCGAAGAAAAATCAAATCGTTGCTCAGCTCAGCAGACAGGCTTCACCATACAAGTAGCAACGTTTCCAATCAACCTGCTCTACTACTGTACGCTTTTTTCAACTCCTCGTCGTGCGTCACAAGTGCACGGCAGCATTCAAAACTGCTGATTGGCAGCTTCGCGCATCCTCACGCCCGGTAACAGGTACAGTAACACGCTGTCAACACTGCAGCGTGAGGCAGCATTTGCCGGCACATGCCAACACAGGACTATGCAGACAGACAGAACAACAGACGGACAGATCGTAGGATTCCGGCGGGGAGAAAATGTCACATGGAGGGTGCTTCGAACATCTCCAGGAGGTTTGCATGCGTTAGCGTTTCATACGACATGCATCTACCCATCTACAATCATACATGCATGTCCGCATGTATGTTTCTATAACTACTTAGACATGATAGGCCCAAGCACCGTAGACAAGGAACAGACAAGGTCCGTTTGAAGCCATGGACCAGACAGTAGAGAGAATGCAGACAATCTCCCCCACAGTCTCCGTTGAATACAAATCGGATGGCTCCATTTCTTTGGTGCATAAACTCCCAGACGGTTCCGAGCAGCGAGAGGCTGCAACCCCTATGATTATTGAAGCTATGCTCGATGTCAAGAAA